AAACAGCAGGATCGTATTGAAAGAGGAGTGTGGGGAGTTCCCCTCACTTTTCTGGCCCAAAGGGGCTCCTTTCTTTGCAGACCAGAAATAAGGCCTCTCTTGGAGCTCTTCTTGTTTGCACCTGATATGTAGTTTAGGATTTTAGGCTGCTTGAGACCAGCCCAGCAATACCAGAGAGAAATGGAGGGGGAAAGAAACAAAAAAGGAAAGTCAGCTGCTGCTTCAGTGGTAGCGAACCTATGGTACATGTACCACAGTCAGCTGTTATCATTGAGAGCTCTAAAAGGTTTGCTATTATTACTGGCCTAACTAATGTTCATTTGACTACACTGCATTCTATCCAGTTTTTGTTTTTAAAAGAATAGGTCTGCTTGCATTGCCCAGGCTGACCTGAACCCCTGAGCTCTCAATAATCTACTTCAGCCCTCCCGGTAACAAGACTGTAGTCACTACTGCTGCACTTGACTCTGCTCAGGGTTTTCTAGTTACATGTAGTAAGAGGCAGTGCTTCCTCTATGTCCACAAACCAAAATGCTTTTGTACTCATTTACTCATCATTAGTTGATAAACTGCATCCAAACCTTTCCTTGACCTGATAGTAATGCTCAAGCATTTTCAAGAATTTTTTCAGGCACGGCATGACAGTGCGTTTGCTTTAAACACTGTAAGACATGGTCTTGGCAGCCAAATGATTATGAAGACATGGGAGCTGCTGGTCTTAAGAAAAATGAAAGACAGAACTTTGAAATCAATACAGTGCAATACATGTGTGTAAAAAATGAAAAACCAGCTCTGGAGCAATTGAATTTCAGCACAAATTATTTTATCATGCTTCTGTGCTGAGAATAAGTCTTTTGTAAATAAAGCTTTATTGGAACATGGCCACACCCATAAATTGGGTTATTCTCTCCCTATAGGGACAGAGCTGAATAGTTCAAACATAGCCTGTCTGCATTGCAGAATTTTAAATTTACTCTCTAGCCTTTTATAGAAAGGTGGCTGGCTCCTGTTTTAGAGGAAAGTTTTTGATGAACCACTACCACCACTCACTGCTTGCTGTCCACATAAATGATGGGAAAGATAAAAGTGCTTTATACAGTCAGCGAAGGCATTTTCTTAAATCATCTATGACTAGAATGTCATATCAGTGTCCACTAGTGATAGTAGAAGGTATCTCCTTGGTTCCCAAATGTTTCACAAAGATAATTATAAACTGTTTTTACAAAACTGTTCTGTTTGGTAGTTCTTGGCACTATACATTGTAAACAGAGTTCAAAAAATCAAACACAAATTACAAAGCTGAAGAAAAAGATAAGAAATTTAGAATGTATTCACGATTACAAGATCACCTAATACTGATGTAATGATTAGGAAAACTTTTTTTGAGTCAAAAAATCTCAGTAGTTCAGGGGGCCTTGAACTTTTGTAGTCCTCCTGTCTCCCTGGTCCTGGGATTATAGGTGTGCACCACCATGTCTGGCTCATGATTGGAAACTATTAAGCTATTCAAGAACATAATTCTTGGGGTCTTGTAAAACATAAAGAAACACATAGGAGGGCTGGGGATTTAGCTCAGTGGTTTCGCCGCCTGCTGCGCAAGCGCAAGGACCAGAGTTCAATCCCTGGTACCAAAAAAAAAAAAGAAACACATAGGTAAAGTATTTCCTGGTTTGAATTGCTTTTATTTGCATTTTCTGAACTATTTATTTACTGAGACACACAGTCTTACTATATGGTATGGGCCAGCCTTGAACAACCTCTTGTGGAGCCTGGGCTGGCCTTTAATTTGTGATACTCTTTCATTTTCCTAACTGTGGAATTACAGACATGTACCATCACCCTTAGCTACTTTTTCTGTTTTTAAGCGCTGTTTCCTCATTGACCTAACACTTTCACAGCAGGGCTGTAATTTTTTTCCTCAATACTGGGTGGCTCTGAACCATCAGTGGCCACCTGATGGGAGATACTCATGCATGTACTACTGCTGGTTCAAGCCAGCAAAAACATGTTAAGTCTGTTTCTCAACTGGTATGATTTTGCAACCCAAGAGACACTTGGAGACATTTTTGGTTGTCACAACTGGGATGGGGGTGCTGCTGCTGCTGCTGACATGTCAGGGTACCTACTGCTGCACAATACAACAAACAGGACAGTCACTCCTACAACAAAGAATTACAGTATCTGGACTAAAATCTTAAAGATACTGAGGTTAAGAAACCTTAATTTAACTTCAGCAGCAGGTACTGAAATATCCATAGTATGATCAAGGATTATGAAAAATAACTCCAAAGAAATAGATGCTCTTTACTGATAGTTAATAGATTGGGTGATCTTATTTACTGCCTGAAAAGCAGTACTTCAGTATCATTGCCACATGTTATAATTAACAAGTTCTCGTTAATGGCTGGGCATAGTGGTGCATACATAAATCCTATCACTCAGGAGGCTCAGGCTGTCCTGGACTGGACTACATGTTAGGATTCAAAGAAAGGTCTGGAAATGCTTGAATTCCTAAGATACTCCTGCCCTAACTCTCCAGTAGCTGGGACCACAGGGACACAGGCACCACAATGTCCAGTGTCTACTATACTTCAAATCTGGTTTAGTTTGCCTATAATACCTAATACAGTGTAAATGCTATTAGATAATTATTGCACTGCATTGCTTAGGTAATCATGGCAAGAAAAGTCTGTGTTCATTACATATGCAATTTTTTTCAAATATTTTCAATCCAAGGCTGATTCAATGCTTGCAGAGCCCATAGAGGGTTAACTATACTATTTTTTCCTATACATATATATCTATGATAAAGTTTAATTTATAAATTAGTCACAGTAAGAAATTATTATAGCTAATGATAAGGTGGATGAATTGTAACAGTGTAACATGTGGTGGGTTTTTTTGTTTGTTTTGTTTTGTTTTTTTGGTACCGGGGATTGAACTCGGCCTTGCGCTTGAGAAGCAGGCGGCGAAACCACCGAGCTAAATCCCCAGCCCTACATGTGGTTTCTTGACATACCTTACTATGCCTTCCTGGGCTTTCTTGTGATGGTGTGGGATGCTGCCATGCCTGTGTGCCCAGATGACTTGGGGTGAGTGATGTAGGCACTCATTGTGAGGTGCTGTTAGAAGGCCTGCTGATGTTATCTGAAGACTTCTTAGTGTCCTGGATCATCAAGAGGGACATTGTTGGCAAGTATGTGAAACCATAGATTATGAAGCTGCTACTACTGAGGAGGAAGTGGCAGAAAAAAGGATTTGTTAGTATGTCCACTGAGAAGAGAATGTGTGCAACAGTGCTAAATTCTGGTAACAGCCCAGCATGGTGGCACATGCCTGTAATCCCAGCAGTTGGGAGGCTGAGGCAAGAGGATCACTTCAAGTTCAAGGCCAGCCTGAACTGCATAGTGAGACCCTATCTCAAAAACAAAAAAAAATTTTTTTAAGGAAGTAATATCGACAGGCCTGAAATCAATAAACTCTAAAGAGAACTCTGCTCAAATTCCACTTAATGCTTCTAACACTTAAATCATAGGTTTTTGTGATGCTGAGGATTGAGCCTAGAGGCTTGCACATGCTAGGCAAGTACTCTACCACTGAGTTACATTCCCCAGCCCTTTTTATTTTTTATTTGTGAGACAAGGTCTTACCAGGCTGGCCTCAAACTTTTGATCTTCCTGGCTCAGCTGCTTGTTTTTGGTGGAGTTTTTGTTAATTGTTTTTTGTTTTTGTTTTTGTTTGAGAGAGGGTCTAAGTCTCCATGTTGCTCGGGCTCAAACTATTGATCTTCCTGCCTCAGCCTGCCACAGTACTGGGATCACAAACATGTACCCCCATGCCTGGCAGCATTTGAATTCTTAGTATCTAGTAGGTGATCTTCTTTTCCGCCAGGTAAAGAAACCAAGCCAGGGATAACAGTTTTTTTGAGACAGGGTTTCGCTGTATAGTTCAGGTTGGTCTTGAATTCGCAGCAGTCCCATGATTCAGCTTCCCATGTGCCACCACACCCAGCAGGGTTAACTTTTCAAGACAGGAAATAATAGCTTTCATGAGAGCCTCATATTTCCCTTAAATCTGGGTATTCCTTTTTGCTTTAAAGTAAATTGTAGAGTTAGGATACTTGTAGTCTTGAAATACAACTTTTACTAGAAATATGAAGCTCAATGCTACTGCTGGACTACCTTAAGAGAATTTTTTCTTTTAAGTTGAGTTACTCATAAATGCTGATTGCAACTTTTTTCTCACCAAGACAACAAATTATATGTACTGAATTTTAGAGACTGGGCCTCAGTATATTACTTGGGCTAGTCTTGAACTTACAAGCTCAAGTGAGTCTCCTTACCTTATCTTTCTATGGAGCTGGAATTACATTTGTGCGGTGTTTGTGTTTTAAGGGGGTTGTACCATATTTTATTTGAAAAGGCAAAAACCATGGCCCAGTAAAAATGTGTGTGTGTGTGTGTGTATTTTCCTGTATAAACAGGTTGCCTCATATTCCCAGGATCTTACTGGTGTGCTGACAGTTTTTTTGTGAATGCTTCTAGACTTGGTGATTTGATAGCAGGCAACAATACCTACACATATAAAACTAATGAGGGCTGGGGATTTAGCTCAGTGGTTCTACCGCCTGTCTCGAAAATGTAAGGTCCCGAGTTCGATCCCTGTACCAAAAAAAAGAGACTAATGACTTGCTCATTCTGTCAGGTTTTTAAATCTTCCAATTTGATTGGTGAAATAGTGCCTTAATTTTTTTTTTTTTTGGCAGTGCTGAATATCAAACTGAAATCCTCTTCACATAGCAAAATATATCTCTTTTCTGGATATATTAATACAAGCTATTAAAACAAACTAAATGTATAAGAAAAGTAGAAGCAATGTAATAAGGAAAAACTATGACAAGAGAAAATGTAGTCTTAGGAAAATTCTTAAGTGCTAGATAGAGCTTTGTTATTTTTATGAGAATAAGCAATATTATTAATTATGTTTTTGTTAAATAATAGATCTGAGTGGGATGTACTTTTGAAGGATGTGCAATGTTCAATCGTAAGTGTGACAAAAACTGACAAGCAGGAAGCTTATGTACTCAGGTAAGTCCTGTAAAACAAGTGTTGGGCACCGAATTTCAGTCCTAATCATAAACTTTCTATGAAATATCACATTGTTCCTCAATCTTAAAGGTTGTTTTGTTGGTACACAAAGGCCATTCAGCCTTTTTATAGGTGCAGTTAATTTATTTAATAAATACTGTGAATACTTAATTCAAATGGTGATGGGCCTTGCATTAAGATCCAAAAGATATGTACTTTTTATTGTTTGGATTTGGTATAAACAGATGTCTATCAAAAATACTTAGCATGTGTTGTGCCCTGGGGGTGATAGTGATGAGCAAAACAAATATGCCTTTCCTCATGGAGTTTGTTATCTATTGAAAGATAATGGGATGGTTCCAGAAACAGCAGGTAAGAGTGGGTGGTGGTATAAGGTGATGTAAAGAATGTATTGAGTAAATAATGTTAGACATATACCAGGGACACTTTATTAGATTATTACTGTCAGCCATCTGGAGGCTTTTATATCCATATATATGAGGATATCCTATCCAGAAAAAGATATAGAAAGCTTTTCTGTCATTCTTGGATGCTAATGTCCAGGATGCTGATAAATGTAGGAGTAAAGAAGCTATGTGTAAAGAGCTAATATGCTTTACGCCCAGCTCAGTAGAGGAAAAGGATACTAAATTAATTGCTTCCTTGGGATACTAACATTTAAAAGCACTAGCAAAAAATTATAGATGGTCTAAAAACAGGTTAATTGTATCCTTAGTACATAAATAATAATCTTACAACTTTTTTCAACTGCAGTGAGAGTAGCATGTTTGTCTCCAAGAGACGTTTCATTTTGAAGACATGTGGTACCACCCTCTTACTGAAAGCACTGGTTCCCCTGTTGAAGCTTGCTAGGGATTACAGTGGGTTTGACTCGATTCAAGTAAGTAATTAGAAATGTTATTTAAGCCATATTTTGGGGTATAACTATTAGGATTTTTATCCTGTGGTGTGCCTCGTAAATAAATGTGTATAACTCACAGCTTCAGTTAATACCTAAGAATGTGTGGCAAGATGGTCTCTTGGACAAGCTAAAGAGAACTGCAATATTTAGCCTTTTGGTCAAGAACAGTAGAAAATATGGAGGAAGCAGAGGATGAGTTATTGTGAAATTCAAATGGAAAAGAAGAAGACGTATTTCTACAGTTCTTGAGATGATTACTGTAAATACAGAGAAATGGGAGCTGGGCGTGTAGGTCAGTGGTAGACCACTTTACCTAGGATTCCTGAGGCCCTGGGTTTGATCCCTAGTGTCACCCCCATCCCCTAAAAGGATGATTTTATTAAAATTATCCAGACTTCATAATAGAGGGATATTTATAAGGACCAACAGTCAATATTAAATTTGTTTTCAAGAACTACAGAATTTCTAGTTAGGGTATAATTAATTTTCGTGTGTGTGTGTGTGTCTTTATTAGTAGATCAGCTCAGGCCCTGCCAACGCACCCAGGTTCGGCCTGTAGCTAGTGCACCCTGCAGCCGCTTGCTTGCCTTGGGGCTGAGCCGGTGAGGGGTTGGCACGTCCCTCCCTATGAGTCAGAAGGGCTGTTTCCTAGGGTTTTTTGTTTTTTGTTTTTTGTTTTTGGTACTGAGAATTGAACTCAGGACCTTGCACTTGCGAGGCAGGTGACGGAACCACTGAGCTAAATCCCTGGCCCTTTTTTTTTAACCTCTGGTTGTTGAATTCAATATTTTGTCTCATAAGAAAAAAAGATTGTCATTAGGAACTAACACAGTTTTTGTTTGTTTTTCCCTATTGCTAGGGATTGAAACCCAGAGCCTTGCTCATGTTAGGCAAGTGTTCAACCACTGAGCTAATAGTTTTTGTTGTTACCTATTGATCCCTGTAAGAAATCTAGAGCAATCTGTGCTTAAATTGGGTCACTGCCTCTTAAAATTAGATATACATGTATTTTCCACAAAATTTTGCTTAGCTATTAAAAAGCTCAGATAAAAACCACTGGTATAGAAAGAAAGGAACTTTCTCTGTGGTTGTTATGACTTTATTAGTAGATTGGACATTCTCTGTTTTAGGATTTTAAAATTACAATATGATAAGTTCATTATTACAAGACTAAACTAGTATCACTCAGATAGCTAATTTGTGTACTCCAGAAGTAGAAAATGTTTATAGACTTTTATATATATATAAATATTTTTGATAGAAATTGGTTGACAAATTTAGAAAAGTTTCTTAAAGTTGTCGTATATGTCTTTTTGTTTTTAAAGAGCTTCTTTTATTCTCGTAAGAATTTCATGAAGCCTTCTCACCAAGGGTACCCACACCGGAATTTCCAGGAAGAAATAGAGTTTCTTAATGCAATTTTCCCAAGTAAGTCTAAGAATTTAAACATATTTTGTTTTTGAAGTTAGAGAATATAACCTTTCAGAGATCTTGTTTATAAATTATATATAATTTGTGTATATAGAGAGAAAGTATGTGTTTTATGTATGAATGTACATGTACAAATGTAACACTATACATATATTGTCCATACTTTTTGTTGTTGTTGTTTTGGTTTTTTTGGTACCGGGGATTGAACTTGGGTCCTTGCACTTGCGCAGCAGGCAGCGAAACCACTGAGTTAAATCCCCAGCCCCATACTTTATTTTTAACTGCCTGGATGTTTCATCAGTGTAATAATAGTGATCTTTACAATAGCTTATAAATTTAGATATAGTTTTCCATCTCGGGTCATTGCTTTTGAAATAACAGAATAGGAAAATCATGGAAGCTAAGCACTGTGTCATGTGCCTGTAGTCCCCAGCTACTCAGGAGGCTGAGGTAGGAGAATCAGTTGAGCCCAGAGAGAAAGTTATGGCTGTACCTAGTTTCATATCTGTAGGACAGGGATAGTTCATCTTCACCTAGCCAGCATCTTAATTTCTGCCTGTCTCTGTGGTTCTTAACATGCAGATCAATATAGCCTATGACAGTACGAAGAAGAAATAACGCCTGTGTCTTCATAAATTTCTGCTGTTAAAATGAGTTCAGCTGGGCATGATATTGCACGCTTACAATCACAGCACTCTGGGAGGCTAAGGCAGGAGAATCATAAGTTCAAGGTTAGCCTGTGCAATTTTAGCAACCTGACGAGACCCTGTCTCCAAATAAAAAGGCCTGGGGACAGACAGCTCAGGGTAAAGGCCCCTAAGTTCAGTTCCAAGTACCACCCAAAAAAAGTGAGAAGAAGAGAGATTCCATCCCTTTACTAAGTTTTTGTTTACAAATATTAGGGAAAAAAGGTTATGTAATTCAACATCCTTATTTCCAACATGAGACTTAGAAGCTAAGATAATTTAATAACTTTGCACAGAGTCACTCAACAGGCATGATTTTTAAAAAATCAGGGTGCCAAGGTTGTGACTCAGTGGCACAATGCCTCCATAGCATGTGCAAGGCCCTAGGTTTGATCTTTAGCACCACAAGAAAAATCTGCCTTCCCTGCATCTAATATGAAACCATACTAGTCTGTATCAGAGTGGTGGATATTTAATGCTAATAGCTTCCAAGTGTTTATTTACTGTATTGTGAGGCTTTGAAGTAATATGAATAAGAAATTAATATAAAATGACTTGTAGCTGGGCATGGTTTTGCATACCTGTAATCCCAACACTGAGGAGGGGAAGGCAGGAGGATTATTACCGTCTCAAAAAAATTAAAATTACTTTTTTTTTTTACATTCTCTTCCCTCAATAGATGGAGCAGCATATTGTATGGGACGTATGAATTCTGACTGTTGGTATGTTTTGTAAATTTTTTGTTGTTGTCCGTAAAAGATTGATTTTAGACTACCAGTTGTCATTTTTAGAAACAATTTTTTGCTTTTATGTAGGTACTTGTATACTTTGGATTTCCCAGAGAGTCGAGTAATCAGTCAGCCAGATCAGACCCTGGAAATTCTGATGAGCGAGCTTGACCCAGGAGTTATGGACCAGTTCTACATGAAAGATGGTGTTACTGCAAAGGATGTCACTCGTGTAAGCAATTTCAGTAAAAACTGTTAGTTATTGCTAAGTCCTTCTGCGTCATTACTGTGTTTTTTGCTTAGTTTATTTTTCAGATTTATTTCCTTTTCTTTCTGTAGGAGAGTGGAATTCGTGACCTGATACCAGGTTCTGTCATTGATGCCACACTGTTCAATCCTTGTGGGTATTCAATGAATGGAATGAAATCGGATGTAAGTTGTTACAGCTCACTACAGTACTTATGTTAATACTTAAGTATGCTCTTCCCATTACTAACACAGAGCTATTTCTCCCAGGGAACTTATTGGACTATTCACATCACTCCAGAACCAGAGTTTTCTTATGTTAGCTTTGAAACAAACTTAAGTCAGACCTCCTATGATGACCTGATCAGGAAAGTTGTGGAAGTCTTCAAGCCAGGAAAATTTGTGACCACCTTGTTTGTTAATCAGGTAATGTGATTTATTAGCAACAGTGAACTCTAAAAGGAAATAAAGATAGTGAGGCCTGTCACAAAATGTATTTAAGATGGCACACATACCTAGTCACTCAGATATCCAGAGGTGGATGAGAAACCCTTATGTGTTAGGATCTTGCTAAGCTAATCTTAAACTTGTGATCTTCCTGCCTCAGCCTTCCAAGTAGCTGGGATTACAGCTGTGTGCTACCAAGTCTAGTTATTCTTTGTTTTCTATCTAATCAGTTTGATTGGTCTCCTGTTAATCCTGTTAATTTTCCTGCTGATAACCTGGTAGGGTACCACATGAAGCCCCACTGCACTGAGCCCATTAAAAGGAATCTAAGATAACTAAAATGCCCCAGTTTTATTAAGATTGAAAGCTATTGTGTAACTATTTTCTTTGAAAAAATACTTTGCAGACGGGAGCACTAATGGTTATTTTAATTTTTCTTCTAGAGTTCTAAATGTCGTACAGTGCTTTCTTCACCCCAGAAGATTGAAGGTTTTAAACGTCTTGATTGCCAGAGTGCTATGTTCAGTGATTACAATTTTGTTTTTACTAGTTTTGCTAAGAAGCAGCAGCAACAGCAGAGTTGATTAAGAAAAATGAAGAAAAAACGCAAAAAGAGAACACACATAGAAGGTGGTGGCTGCTTTCTAGATGTTGATACCAGGGGCTATGCTTTCCATAACCACCACCTTGTAGTTGCAGAAAGCCCTAGATGTAATGATAGTGTAATCATTTTGAAGTGTATGCATTATTATATC